TTCAAAAACAAAAAGTACTTAGTCAACTATGATGTCTTTACTGGTTAGGTGTAAATGCAAGAGTTGCTTGTTGTTTTGGGGAATTAGCTATTGTATAGAACACCTAAGTCTTAATGCACTGCACTGAGGCAGAATTGATTTTGTAGATATTTAAGGAATAACTGTCTTATTTTTCGATTTCATGATGTGATCAGTCGATTGGCTTGCATGATAATTTACATAAACCGCCAAAGGCGTTTATGCATAAAATTATCACGCAAGCCAATCGATTGATCATCGTCATGAAATTGAAAAATCTGACAGTTATTCCAAATATTTACATGCTCTTGATTCCGCCAATCCACATGCTCTAAGCCCAGCGTCCGACTAGATACGTGTCCCGCCCCGCATGCGAGTTTTCTTAACCACGCCTATCGATGAACCAGTGCATTCATGATGAAGAAATAAAGTACATTAACTATTTGTAATTTTATCTCAGACAAAGGCATTGGAAATGTTAATATATATGTATATGGCAACCCGCTATGAAATAAATTTAATAAACAAATTGTATGGACATTGTAACAAGCAAAAACAGTCTTAGAATGAGACAATTTGTAATGAATTAAAAGTCATTGTGTGTGTGTGTGTGTGAGGGAAGGTTTGTGTGTCCAGTAAATAAGAAAAATCTTAAATTTTACAAATCGTTTTGTTTTTGTTTTTACAAGACTTCTTTTCGATTCCTATAAATCAAAACAGATTGGGGTGTATTAAATTACTAAAAAGTCATCTTATCTAAGAATATACTTATTACACTGTATTACAAGACATTTTAAGTATTATATCATACCGTTTCCCGACTGATCAATAAATATTTCCATTTCTAATTTTTTTTCTCTGTGATAACTCTTTTTGAAAGTTAGAGGAGTTGATTTCTTGATAATTCAGCTGGAATGTGAATTAGGCAGGTCTATGGGTCAGGAGCTAAGGAGGCCTAATATGCATGCAAATCTCGTGCGCATCTGTCTCTTGTTTCTGACGCTAAGGAGGCCAAATATGCATGTAAATATCATGTGACTGCCTTTGTGTTTTGACGTCAGTGGACGAGGACTACTGAAATTGGCATGACAGTCCTCATATATTTAAATCTATGTGTACATTTTTAAAATCTAAATCTACAATGTTATTTCACAATGAAATGGAAATATAAGGAATCACTGTCTAGTTAGTATAGTATGCCAGGGACATCAACAATAGTGGGAAACATGGAATAATTTATGCATAACGGGCTGCAAATTATCCCATGTTTCCCATTATCGTTGATGCCCTGGCATACTATACTAACTAGACAGTGATTCCTTAAATAACAGAAAACTCTATACCATGATGATCAAAAAAAAAGAATTAAAACAAATGAAGCACCTTTTTGAACAACTTTATTGGTACTTTAACACACAACATTATAACATTGGTCCTTATTAGTATGTAAGATTGGAAGAACCTTTTGTTTGTGCTGTCTGTATTATTAAAGCTGTCAGATGTAATAAAAATAGTATCTCAACAGGTGTAAAAAATGGGGGGTCTAAAATCGGGGGGCTTAAAATAAAACACCAACATAAAAACTGTAAAAAAAACCTTGTGAAAGAAAAACTTAATAATGTGCTATAAATATATGAATACGTGGTATCAATTTTTTTAAATCTCTGTAAGAACTGTAGAGGAATATAACAGATATTTTGTTTTGCAGAGACGACAAATACGACTAATCTATTAAAATCATGATAGCAAAACTTTTAACAGCATAAAAACACAACAGAACATATCTATATAAAAAAGGATTTCATAAGGAACATGATTTACATTGTTAAGCATTGATTAATCTCAGTTTACAAATAACAAGAGAAAAAAAAAATCAGACATAATCAAATATCTCCAAAGAACAAAAAAAAACCACTTATCCCATCCCAAGAATACAAAAGTTCCCATATATATTATGAAATACTGGAATCATAGAAATTAATAACGTATCTTATAGGAAGTACCATTAATATCCCATTTTGACTGAAAAAGAACCCATTTGTTTACAACAGGAAACAATCTATAGCCCTCATATGTTTTTCTAATCTGTATTATATTACCTGTTCAATATATCCAGGAAATCTGCTACATTAGGGTACAAAAATAAAAACACTTGTAATAAGAACTTGGTTTTCACTTTTGCGGAAATAAATGCCATGACTTGTTTTTCTTCATTCCCATCATAATTTTCATTTCTCAAAATCTGGCACTTCCCCCCCCCCCCACCCCTTAATTATTTTTTGAAATAGTGCCTAAAATTTACTGCATGTCATCCAATGTTTTCAGAACCACTTGTATGTATATATAAATTACTGCTAGTACGCAAAATATTGTTTCAATTTCTGTAAGTCAACCTGCAGAATGATATATCTACTCTAATTAACAAGTAAGAAAATGTTGACTAGGTTATTTTCAGTATAAAATAGGTACCCGGTAATTATAAATAAAACTAGATGGATGGAACAAAGTAATTAAACTTTCTTAATTGATTATTTCTCAGTTAAGTAACCTAATAGTATTACATATCAACTTTTTATGTAAACAACAATAACATAACATTTTACCAGCAGCCCCCCCCCCCCCCCCCCCCCCCGAATTTGATATTCTTCAAGGGTGGATGGAAACCGTGATTCAAGCACTCTCCTTTTTAGTTATTTTCACCAACTAGTCTCTTTACGGTCACCCCCCAAAAAAAATATCCATACAATTAAAACAGTCCAATATCTTTAAAATTGTTTTACTTCAGGAGAGGTGTTCTTCGGAACCTGGTAAAGTAGCTTATTTAAAAAAAAAATCTGAAAATCTTAATGAATCTTAACCTTATTTGATGAAAATTGACAGGATAAATTAATTGTTTTTAGATTGGTTGATTAAGACTATAACATCAGCTGTATGCAAAATACATCCCTACAAATAAAACCTCACCAAAGCATAAAATACTAAAGCAACCTTACACATAAGTATAATACCTGTTCTACCAGCTAAAAATGCAATCATACATTTTAAAATGATTTCTAGACTGCTGAATTCAATTACATCTCAATGTAACCAGTTACTTTCTCAAAAACCTTTTTCTCCATGAAAAAAGAAAATATACGGAATATTATAGGCCCAAAAAATAGGAATTTAGTAAAACTATTTTGTGACAAGAACAAGTGATTTTTCTATTGCTAGAACAATATTGCACCAAAGACAATATTTGGACATCCACAACAGAAATACAGATCTAACAGAACACAAAACAAAATTTACACAAAGTATTTTTTTGGCTGAAATAAGTTTCAAGATCTGATTGACTGACAACATGAAAACAGAGGTAGATTTATAAAAGATTTCTTGTTAACAGCAAGGACTACTGTTTTCTAACAACTGCATTACTAAACTGACAACTTGAGAGTATACATATATTATTACTTTTCTTCAAAGAAAAAAAAAATATAAAGTACAAGGAATGGAAATTTTTTTTACCTAAATAATTCTTTATCTTAATACTGAGATTGCATTAATCTACCATTCTGTACAATTCTCTGGTCACATGACCATATAACTCCTCCCACCGAGTCACATGACCATATTACTCCACCCACTGAGTCACATGACTGTGTGAGTATGCTCTTCAAGTCATTCCACCGGTACATTAGAAGAGTTCATCGGTATGTCTCACGGACTCGCTCAGGTATCCGCCAAAACTCTTGCTACTGTTCCCGTGAAACGAGAACTGCTCAAAGTAGGGGAGTTCCCCCTCTTCATCAATGGCATCCAACTCATGCCTCATGCTCTCTGACAAATGTTCCTGGCCTGGTGGTGTTAAGATCGTGTTCTCACGGGCAAATTCATCAGGGATGTATTTTGTGTCCCAGGCACTCTTCACATCTGGTTTCCATGGGGGCTGAATCTATCAATGAAACATAGTTAATATTTTAAATTGTTTCTTTTTAATGACTTGCTCTTTACCAAGTTAAGATCACGTGAGAAAAATATTTATGGAATGAATTTAATTCCTACACAATTTATATCACCTGGATTGGGGCAGCTTATGCTTTATATCAACTGCCATGTGTAGGCAACACAGATTATTTGATATAAACAATTTTTTTTATCCAATCAGATGACATGTAACAAACAGTTAATTTATACAAAAGTAGATCCAAACTTGGATTATCTTACTCTTTCTTGCCAAAGGAAAAGAAAATACAAAACAATGGTAGTACCTTCATTTCTTTCTGAATCAATAGGTACATCAAAGAACATGTTTGAGACATGCAAAATCATGACCAAACAGATACTGAAATTCTTATTTCTTGTTCTGCAACTCTTCTAAAATGTACTTACATGTACATATACGATATAACATCCCAAACAGTATGTCAGTTGCTTTTCCCATCAATCCATCCATACTCCTAACACATTATTCTATTCTTTTTTTTTTTTTTTTTTTTTTTTTTTACTTGAGAATCAAGATCAGGCAGGGTTACCTCTATACCTGTGGTCCAATTCACCCCCCCCCCCCCCCCGACTACACAGAGGTTAAATGTCATACCTTCTTGTTCCCCCTCACTGTATAAAAAGAGCTTGATTACCTATAAACCAGTACTCAACCTCAAGACACATTTTCATAACTTTAATTTTCTCTCATTATGGGCCTTTATATTCTCGAGTTCCTTATCCAAAGTATACTTGATGAATATGCATCAATATAGTGAGTGAGACAAATTATAAGAAATAACCTCCCACTTATGTACTGTATAAAGGGAAATTTTTGCCCTCGATTAATCTCATTTGGGCAAATTTAAAACGGGACAAATTCAAGGAATACAGTATAATTTCTTAAACAAAACTATGACTGGGCGAAATCAAAATGGGGCAAAATTATTTGTAAGTGTGAGAGGGCAAAAATAACCCCGTATAGAGTATATAACCTTGTACAGAAACTAAGACAATAGTTGGTGTTAAATTATTTTATTATTCAATTTGTTACAGTTTGACATGTACATTCAGTTAAGATTCTGGTTACTATGCTTTCTCTCTCTCTCTAAAGGCTCTTTATCATAGCAATGGGACACAGTATGAATTATCCAACAGTAAAGGCAGTACCACAGTATGAATTATCTAGCCGTGAAAAATACCACAGTATGAATTATCTAGCAGTGAAAGATACCGCAGTAAGAATTATCTAATAGCTATAGAAATACAACAGCATAAATTGACTAGCAGTAAAAGGTACCACAGTATGAATAACAAAAATTTGGAAGATATCAAAGTATGAATTATCCTGCGGTAGATTAAAGCATTAAAGTATGAATTACCTGGCTGTGAAAGGTACCACAGTACAAATTATCTAACTCTGAAGGGGAAAGTACCATAGTATGAATTACCTTATGTGAAAGTATCAAAGAATGAGTTATCTAACTTTGGAAGTCTCAAAATAAAAATCATCTTATTGTGGAAGGTTCATAGTATGAATTATCTTACAGTGAAAGGTTTCAAAGTATGAATTATCTAACTGTAGAAGGTATTAATGTATATTATCTAACTGTAGAAGGTATTAAAGCATGAATTATCTAACTGTATTTGATTCAAAGTATGAATTATCCAACTTTGGAAAGTATCAAAGTATGAATAATCTAACTGTGGAAGGTGCCATATTATAAATTATCTACATATGTAACTGTTGACAGTATCAAAGTATGAGTTACTAAACTGTGAAAGGTAGGTATGCTACTGTAGTGCAATACAATTGTAGTAGACCCGTGCAATATTCTTATAGTAAACTTATAGTTATAATATCCTACTGTTGAAGTCAAACCCCACTCTCTCTCTCTCCTTCTCTCTCTCTCTGATCAATAAAATGATCTTTATTGAAAGGTTGGCTCATTTCATTACAATAATATAACAAATCTAATAACAATACACAGACATTTTCATAAATGATATTTAGGTTTGATAATTTGTGAACATTCTCAATGTTCTAATTAATCTACGTATACTGGTGCTTATACATGTATATACGTCATATATGTATCATACTGATCACTTCAAGTATTCAAACAGTTACTATAACAGAGTTAAGATATTACAGCCATGTCAGATTTACATGAATGTCATATTAATCCCAATCTGACGGACTCTATTGCCAGTGATTCCCCTAAACTTGATATAGATACTTGGAAACTGTATTTAAAGTCACCCCCTAAAGCTACTTGCCTATGGAAGGTCATCTTTTTGAAGGTGTTTCTTTGTCATTTTTGTCAATCATATTAATTAGTTGACCCTTATTAATTGTCAGATGTAACAGAGTAACACTGCTCTGGCGGACAACTTATTTTGTCGGAGCCTGGTAGTTTGTTTCTTGTGTGTTCCTTATTAACCTTTGGGCAATATTCTCAAAATAAGATCAACTGTTGTTTAATTATTAGCCCTCTTCTTGGCTGTCAGTTATTTTAAGCTGTTCCTAGAATAACAATAATTGTCAATTTGTTAACTAATGCACACCTTTCACACATAATAAATAGTTATACAACAAAAAATCATTGCTTTAAGATGCTCATGTCATAGAAATTCTTTATGCATTTGAGACTTAAAACAAATAAAAAAATCTTCTCTCCTGGAGAGATTATGATGAATAATGAATCCAGTAAGTATTAAGTAATACATGTACTAAAACTGATAAGCATGGTTTTAATATAAAAATTGAACACAAAATATTATCTTATTAAACATTCTTAAAAACACATTCATGAACACTTAAAAAAAAAAAAGTACATGTAAGACTATCACAAGAAAATAATTAAGAAAATATCAAACAAATTATTCAGAAAAGAACCCTGACAATTCTTGTTAATAAATTAGATATTGGTTCCTTGCTTACTGGCCAAATTCATTTAGAAAAATAACACCACTTTTGTTCCATGTTTAATACTTAGTGCTCAATACAAACTTAAAAAAGTATATCTACATTTTTGGGGGCAAAAAAAGGAATATATCCCTTTGTAAGAAAGGCATGTGCATAACTGCTGGATTACCAATTTTTCACAAAAAGTTCATGTGTTCTCTGTAACCTTTGGCATGCCATTCTGAGTACAAAGCCTTGAACATTTTTAATTAATGGTTGTAATTCATGGTTGGAAAAAAGGTTTTGTGGTTGTTAAAAAGATCTGGTAATGAGAAATGCTTCAAAAAGAACTCATTTTTGCATTTAGTTTCAAAACTAGCAGGTTTTTAAAAAGTGGTCAAAATTCAAAAGAGCAAAAATATCTTTAAAAATTGCTGTAAAAATTTTTCCTAGTGTAGTGAAAAAACACAAATGGAGCATGATACATTTATAAAAATCACATACATCTACATGATATTTTATCCTTTTATAGGTCTGATTAAAATAAAATAAATAATAAATAAAGATTTAGATACAGATTTTAGTTTCCCCCTCCCTAAATTAAATCACAGATTTCACAACCTATTTCTTTATCATTTATGTAAGTCATAAACATGTAACTGCAATTGAGTAAAAAAATAAATTCTTAAGTCTTTCAATGCTCTATGAGCCATTTTTGCTTTTGATAGTAAGACAATCTTCAATGAGAGTAAAATGTTAACCTGTTGTTAAATAGCATATAAAGAAATGATATTTTCATACAACCTATCAGAACATTAATATGCCAAACAAATTATCTTTTATTACAAATGATATCTATTAACTAAGTATATTGTGCAGACTTGCATTGTACATGTATGCTTGTTGATGACTTGGTATATATGTCATGAAAGAAAACATTATGTAAACATTGATAAATTTTTTATTTTGTAAATCAATTCTGAATTTCAGCCATACAGTCAGTCTTTGTGATCCATATTAAATGTGCAACAAAAAGTTGACAAAACCTCAAATTGAAAGTAATTTGGTTTATTGATCAAAATTTAAAAAAAAAATCCTCTGTCATGTCAAAAACACAATTAATACAAGTACAAATTAAGACAAAAAATCGGCAAATCTATTGCAGTGTAAAAACAACCTTTTATACATGAAATTAATTCATTTGAAACAATTCCTATGGGTATATAGCACTTGCATTCTTAAAATATAACAATAAGAGACATTCATTCATTGTAGACATACATTTACCTAAATAAAGGAAAATAAAATTCATTGAAGGTATTCAATCTACATTACAAACCTTACGTTTTCACATGTTATATGGTGAACATGTTACCATGTCATATAATAAGATGCCTCAGGCACAAATATTAAATTCCTTTAAAAAAAAAAAATCTTATATGTTCTATAAATCCAACTCATACAAGGAGTAAGTTATGTTCTTTGTATGAATAATCTTAAGCTCCAAAATTTGAAAATACTGTCACATTTCCTCATAATGAAAAACAATTAAGAAAGCATACAAACAAGTATTTTTTTTTTGCTGGTAAAATTCATCAATGTCAAACGGTCAGCTTATAAAAAGTGTCATCATATTATTTATTGTGTACTGAAATTCAGTGACACATATCTATAAAGATTTGAAAATATTTCCCCAAAAATATTGGGACATGATACATGTAATATTATTCTATCCAAGCAAATGCTCATCAAGCATCCTTCAAAACCTTTTTAACATTAAATACAGGTGACATATTGTGAATACTCAACACATATATATACTCCTATGTTTCATCTAGATGTCCTGAGGTTTTGGTTCCCTTGACGTTTTGATCATGAGCTCCATGTCGTATCAAAACTCATAACACTATTATGACTCTGGGCCAGGCTCATTTTACTGCCGTGGTAGGAAAACTTCTCGAAGTACGGCATGTTTTCCATTTCGGTCATGTCTTCGTCGATGCGATCGAGGGAGTAACTGGAAGCCTCGTACTCCGGCATTGCTGGCACCTGGGGCGGGGTTAATTCCACGGACTCCCCGGTAAAGGTGTCGTCGAAATACCTGGTGTCAGTTTCAGAGGTCACCTGAGGCTTGAAGGGTGGCGGAATCTGAGAGAGGAGAACAGAACATGCTGAGGAACACAAAAGACAGAATTCTCCTTTGGCATGGTGCACTGCTCGCTAGCGACCCGCTATAACCTCACTACAGTTATCTGCCCCTGAACGTCATTCCATTATTTTTTTAATATATGTCTTGATGATTGTTAAAAATGCAATGCGAAAATGAGGGTTAAAATAAATATAGATAAACTCATGCCAAGCTTAAGAAAAATTCTGTCAACTGAAGATAGGAAGATTAAAATGAAATAGGGGAAGCAATGTTAAGCTGAAATGATAAAGCTGTTTTTGTTGTTGTCAATATATTTTTTTTCATACAAATTATGCACAAACAACATCAAAAAATAGGGATTAAATGCTCAGAAAGGATAAATGCAGAAACTAAAGAATGTGTTATCTGGCCTCTTTGTGACCTCTGAACTGACAGGGGTACAAAACCGCGATTGGTCAGCATGGTCGCTATTGAGAAGTCCAACAGACCACGTACATTTCTTTTAAACGATATCTGAACAAGTAACACTTATAACAAAACAATAACCATATGATAACCCTGAAAATGTTTTCAGGGAGATATAAGACAAAATACACAGTTTAAATCGGAACTTTAAATGAGAAAAAGCATTTATAAACTTAACCTGAAGTTTTTTTTTCATTCAAATAATTTTTTTAGTTAAATTACAAGTTTAAATTTAATATCAGCAACCCTAATGGATTTGTCTTGGATAAATCATGATAACTGATAACACTACAATGACTCCTATATAATGTTACATCTAATGATGCAATTATTTTCCATGATAAAAGTTGAAGATATTTTAATGAGCCATAAATAAATACCAAACCTGTCACCCAGATTATAGTTTCTATTGAAAAGCCCCCTCCTCATAGCTACATCACCAAAGTTATTTATGATATATCACATAGGTAAGAATATTATGGATAATTCACCTGTGTACATATATAACTAATATATCAACTGTTTACATATTAATGATATATCAACCCGTGTATAACTGATATATCACCATATAGGTGTGTTACTGATATTTCCCCTATGTATGTGTATTACTGATATATCATCTATATGTGTATCACTGATACATCACCTACACTTATGTTTTACTGAAATATCACTGATACTTGTGTATTACTGATATCTCATCTATGTACATGTATTACTTATACATCACCTCTGGAATGTGAATTGCTGATATATCACCTTAGTATGTGTACTACTGATACATCTCCTACACAAATGTATTACCGATATATTACCTCTGTACACGTCTCATCACCTGAAATATCACTTCTGTTTGTGTATTACTGACCTTCTTTTCCACCAGGTCTTGCCAGTTGATACTTTTGAAGAACGGGTGGACCCTAATCACATTCACGTCATCCTCCGTTCCTCCCAGCCTAGAAAAACCCAGTAAAAATAGGTTGTCATACAACTAAAGCTTTATACATATATCTCCTCACTTGATACCCATTTCTCTTAAAATCGTGGACATGATAGAGATAACAAGTCTAATGCATGTTGTACCAGACAGACCTGGCTAAATTTTTTTTGAAAATCAATTACAGAAAAAAATTTTAGGGGTTAAAAATCTTTTATGGCCAAAAATATATATCAATATAATTTAAAAAAAACTCAAAATGCTTATAATATTCCATCAAATACATGTATTTATAAGTCTATGATATACATTGATATCACTAGAACTGCTCCTTTGAGAACAAAATTCTCATTGCTCTACAAGATAAGTGACCACTGTCCACTCTACAAGCAAGGAGGAACTGACCTTTGTTTGGGGTCCTTGACCAGCAGGCCCGACAACAAAGAGGTAGCGTCTTCCGACAGCGTCCGAGGAAATTTGACTTGTTGAAGCAAGATAAGTTCAAACAAAATGTCATGATCACGATTATAAAAGGGCAGTCTTCCACACATCATTTCATACATCACAACTCCCGTTCCCCACCAGTCCACCGCACGGCCATAGTCATTGTCCTCAAGCACCTGTCAAAGGGAGATCAGTCAGGGGTAATATTGTCTTGTATTTTAATTATTGCAAGTGTCTAGATAATGTTTTATTTATTTATAACCAACAAAAGGTATTTTTCACAAAATATTCATCTATTTATTATTTGTGATTGATGTGACATATGAGACATCAATAAAAATTAATTAATAATTCATATAATTCAGAATTACCTGTACAAATTCTAATATATCATTTTTTCACACAAAAAAAAACACTTTACCAACTGAATTGATTTCTTATCTTAATTCTATCTTAGGAAACAAAATGTAACTAGAACTGTCCAAATGGGACAAAATACTCCCGCTGGGTTTTTCAGAAGATATTCCATAATATAGATATGTATCAAACACGAATTATGAAACTTTTCTTCCAGTGGCCTTGAACTTCCCTAAATGACCTTGGGTCATGGACAATCTTTGTGTGAAATGAGAACCTACCAAGTTAAACCATAAGAAAGATATGGACCGGACATGAATTATTAAATTTTTCCTACCAGTGACCTTGAACTTCTCCAAATGACCTTGGGTCAACGTCATGACACACCCTTGGGTCATGGGCAATCTTTGTGTGAAATGAGAACCTACCAAGTTTAACTATAAGAAAGATATGGACCGGACACGAATTATGAAATTTTTCTTCCATTGACCTTGAACTTCCCCAAATGACCTTGGGTCAAGGTCATGACACACCCTTGGATCATGGGCAATCTTTGTGTGAAATGAGAACCTACCAAGTTTATCCATAAAAGATATGTATCAAACATGAATTTTGAAATTTTTCTTCCAGTGACCTTGAACTTCCCCAAATGACCTTGGGTTGAGGTCATGACACACCCTTGGGTCATGGGCAATCTTTGTGTGAAATAAGAACCAACAAAGTTTATCCATAAGAAAGATATAAACCGGACATGAATTATGAAATTTTTCTTCCAGTGACCTTGAACTTCCCCAAATGACCTTGGGTCAAGGTCATGACACACCCTTAGGTCATGAGCAATCTTAGTGTGGAGTAGTAGATTCTAATGTCCCTCTGTAAGAAAGATATAGACTGGACACGATTGCACAGACAGACGGACAGACAGCTAGACAGACAGACGGACACAGGGGTTCAAATTTTTTTTTTGTCATGGTCAAGTCCAAGACTTAAAGAGTAAATTTTAGGCAAGTCCGAGGAAGAAATTTCAGAGTCCATTTTTACCTATACATCATTAAATATATGTTACTTTTAATTTATTTTCATTTGTTGCATTGAATGAATAAAGACTATATATATTAATATATGTTTTATTTTTCCTCCATAAACTCATATAAAACTGTCATATAGTCATACGTATGAGTATTTCAACACAATACCAGACTGATAGATTATTGGTACATTACAATTACTTTTACAAATACTCACTACTGAAAAAACCATCTGTTACATAAATAGAAATTAGAATGTGCTGTAAGTGACAGCTAAAAACGAAATTTTACAAACTCATTGCCGTTTGTCATATAGGAGGAAACATGAGGAATTGCGTAAGAGCAAGATTTCCACAACGGAAAATAAAAAGACGGATTGTATTTTCGAAATGTTTGTCATGTTTTATGGGTATTTTAACGCCCACAAACCCACATTTTTACTTAATTCATTTGAGAATTTGCTTTATTTTTAGCTTTATGATCAAGTTTTAACTTAAAAAAGGATAAACAAGAAACATAGCCAAGTCCCAGGACTTTGGCGAATTCTAAATGCCGAGTCCGGATCCGGAATTTGTTCGTCCGGGACGTCGGGCTTGAGGAATTTTGAACCCCTGGGACAAGGTGATTCCTATATACCCCCCCAAACTTCGTTTGCGGGGGGTATAACTATATGAGACATTATATACCTCTGGGGCTAGATACTCTGGAGTTCCACAGAAAGTCTTGGTACTAGCACCGTAATACATCTCCTCTTTACACAGACCAAAGTCTGCTATCTTAATATGCCCATCCTTATCCAATAATAAGTTCTCCAGCTACAACAGACAAGAGCTTTGTGAACATTTGTTTCTGAAAAATATATTTTTTGAGTAATAATATGGGTCTGTCTGCTCACAAATATATTATTAACACATACATCTATTTGAGATAAAGTATAACTGAAACGACAGCAATTGAAAATGTTGTCTTGCTAATAAATACCAAATAGCTAACTTGCAAAAATAAAGTGTAGTGATCTACACAGTATTTAAAATATCATGTGTGTGTATGCCTCTAGGAGCATTGCTTTAAACTTACAAGAAATTCCAAATGGAAATATTGTTTACTATAAATAAATTCATACAGCATAAATTATGAAGATTTCATTCATCAGAAGTAAATATCCTATATCCTACAAAAAAGATTACATCAGCAGCACATATTAAACACAGATTGAAACAGATTAAGAGCCTCTTAATTATTGTAATTCACACTTAAATAGTTACATATCTCATTAGCACATAGATGTTGAATTTACCTTGAGATCTCTATAAACGATATTATTTTCATGTAAATATCCCAACGCTGATATAATTTCAGCACCGTAAAACCGTGTGCGGTCCTCGCTGAATATTCGTTCTCGTGATAAATGAAAGAAGAGTTCTCCCCCATTGACGTACTCCATAACAAAACAGAGTCTGTCAGGCGTTTGGAAAGAGTACTTCAGTTGCTGGAAACAGAGAAGAGCATTTCAGAAAAAGAATTCATCAAGAACACTTACAAAGGAATGATCTTCTAAGAAGGATAAATCTATTAAAATTTTAATTTTAATTTTTTTTACAATTTTATTTTTCTTCATTATTAGGAAAACTTAAATTTAGTAAACGGTCAATTTCTTTTGAAACAGAATTCTTTGAACAAAAAGTATAATGATGTTAAGTGATCAATACAGACAAACACAAATTTTTGACATACACTAGTGAAAGCATAGAGGTTTGTCTACATCCTACCAGCTACATGTAACATTAAAGTATACTATAAGAGCCTTACTGTTAAAAATGGATGTTTAGTGGTCTGTAAAACTCTGTTTTCTGTGAGGGTGTGAGCCACTTCATCCTAAACAAACAAAACAAACAAGATCAATAAAACAAAGGGAACATGAATTAATATTCTCCTCTCCTTCATTGCCAGGATTTGATTAGTGCAAGTTGGAACTTCAGCATCTCAAACATCAATAGATTATACTGAAGTGAGTATGATATTTTAACCTCAATATCTTGAATCAATGAATACTGTATTAAAGGTTATTTTGGCCCCATGTGATTTTTTTGCCCTTTCACACTTGAAAACAATTTTGTCGCATTTTAATTTGCCCAGTTAAATTTATTTAAGAAATGATACTGTCTTCCATGTTAAATTTGTCCATTTGTTAGTAGGGCAAAAGGGTTGGAATATATTGGGGGCAAAACTTTCCCTGTATACAGCATCTCTAGGTTTTTCTCGGCCCCACTGAGACTGAGATAACAGGTTTTGACTGTCATTGATTGATCTCTTACCTTGGCTATGATGACCTGCTTTTTGAGGATCTTGATGGCGTACAGATGATTGGTTGTCTTCTCCTTACACAGAATCACCTTCCCAAATGTACCTTTCCCCAGAACTTTGAGGAATTCAAAGTCATCTAATGACTGCAAGATAACACAGGTACTGTAAGTGTTTACAAGTTTATTTGAAATCATAAAATATTATTTTTACCATCCATTTGCTAAAAAAATAATCATTATTTTCAACTGTCTGTTTGCGAAAAAAGTTTATTAATTAATACCACTTTTTGTATGTCTACCAGATAAGATCAGTCGTTATAATGATCTGGTTGCATGTTAAGCATTAAATAGAAATCAATACACTGTATTAACTACCTTCTGTTTTGTTTCACTAACAACTTCATTATATCAGAGAATACCACTACTGTAAAATCACATATTTTCATGAGGTAAAATTTTCATGGTTTGAGGAAAATCTATGGGTTTAAGAGGATTTGATTTCATGGTTGAAGCTTTGTTGAGTTGTTATCTTTATGACATTTCATATCGTGGTGGACATGAATTAATGGGTTTCTTCACACATTGAAAACAACGAAAACTACCCCCCATTAAAATTAGTAATTTTACAGTATCTATTTAAGTTAATTTAACCCTGACATAATCTCATAAATACCGGGTACTTCTACAGTAAATTCGTTCTTTACCACTTTCTTCTTCTCCTTTTCCAGCAACCCTCCTTCTTCTTCTGTGACCTTGAGATTTTCGGCCACAGAACGAATGGCTGCGATCCAGTCCTCTCTCTCCTCGTTACTCTCCACGTAAAACATTCGCTCCACTACCACCGTCCATTGCAGACCTCGTATAATGAATGTATTAGGCTTGGGCTTCTCTTGTTTCATCAGCTGGCAATCTGCAAAACACTTTAATGGTCAGCATTTCTTACCTCTTCAAATATTATTTTTAATTTACCTTTCAAATCAATAAGATCATTTTGAATCATTAATTATTGTATCTAAAGAGATAAAGTTGAAATTATACATCTTGAATACTGATGTTGTGAATTTTGTGACAACATGAAGGGAGATGAAATTTTTAAAGACTTTTTATTTGTGTATTGTAACATCAAAACCTCAAAATCTAAGATATCTTTAATTTTTCCTCATCCACATTGAAATTAAGATAACTTGAGTACATTTCTATTACTTGTACTTTATCGTTCCATGTACATGATGTAAAATACATTTTTGTGATATATCATTTGTTTTGTCTTTTTTAAAAGGATTACCCAGTGAATCTTATTTCTATTTATAGACTGACCTCGGACGGTGAAGTCGTTGAGGGGGTCCCCCAATCCATGTTCAGGCTTGGCCCGGTATCCCAGGAAAGACCCGTCCTGTCGTAAAATAAAGTACCGCTTCCTCCAGTTCTTAATGTGCTCTCCTACAAATGAATATTAGTACAAATGTTACATCAAATCAGAAAATTCTCCAAGTCATAAAATTATATACATGTACACAAGTTGAATTCGCTGACTATAAAACCATGCAAGTCTTGAGAGAAT